GTTCAACTGCAAGCTAGAGTAAGGGCATTTTTTTCGAAGCATTTTGTACTCCCTTGTCTCAATCATTTAGTCATGTTTGGGGGAATCTAATTTTTTAAAAATAGTTATTTGATTGTTATGTTTATATATATATTTTTTTAAATTTTATTCTCACAAATTTAAAATTTAAATTTAAATAATAACATACATATGATTAAAAATAAAGATATATTAGAAAGAAAGATTAAAAGGTGCTTTGATTTTTCTAAAATGACAAATGTTTTGGGACATTTTAAAATGGAAAGTATGACGCTTTCAACGGCACAGAATGAGTAATTTTTATTTTTATTTTTTAGCTTCAGACAGAGAACATTTTGGTGTAGTGACTATGATTAAAATTCTAAAAGTTATAAGCTCGAAATTCAAATCCTTCTTCTTTCTTTTCACTTCTTCAATCCCACTTATTCTTTGCTAAAAAAGATTAATGATCTTTTAGAATCAAGAGTTTAAAATAAAAAGTTCAAAATATCAGTTAAGCATACGACAACTCCTGGCTTTCAACAATCAAGCTTCAAAGTGTGCATTACTAACATGACCAACTAGAAAAAATATTATACTAATACAAGTAGAAACTCTTTTCACAAAAAAAGAAAAGAAAACAAGTAGCAGCTAAACAATAGCAAGTGGTGATGATAAGCAAAGGTTCGCACCTCACATCAGCTCTCAAGAATAACAAAAGAGAAACAAAGCCCATAAAATAAGCAAGGGACCAGTACAACTATTGCATGATGACTGGATGAGGAGCAATGAAAGAGGACTCTAATGTCGCTGTGAAGCATAAATATCACGTTTTATTCGATTGATTATTTATCTCGCGTGAAAACTGAAGGGAACTGGCGAAGGAAAGAGAGAAGAAATTGGGGGATTTTGCGTATCCCATTTAGATGTTGAGAGCTTTTGACCAAAAAAAAAAATTTTAAATGTTGAGAGCTCCATAAATGGGAAGGGAATGAGAGGTTGGAGTGAGAGCATTTAACCCTAATAGAGCTAGCAAGAAGACAAGCAACAAGAAACGCTAGTTGAGGGTTCTGTCTTTGCAGCCTGATATTGGAGGAGAAGATCTCTTTTGTTATCTACTCATCCGCCCAATCTAACCGTAAACATAAAATTTCTTTTTCCCGGTTGTCAGAAGTATATAAAAATTCTTTGCATCTACTACTTTTTTATATCTCTCCCTGGAGGACAATCAGAATCTAGGGAGAGACCTCTAAAGAAGGACCAAGCACCTGACTTTCTCCTTAGTCTTCCCCAATGGCCAGTTGGGTATTATCAGAATGTGGAATAAGACCACTCCCCAGAATCCACCCAAAACCAAAAACTGGCCTGAATAATTTCAATGCCAAACTGAGACTACCAAAACTAGATCTGGGTAGTTCTTCTTTTTCTTTTTCAAGTGGGGTAAAGGACAGGAATTGGGCATTGAATGTTAGTGCCCCAGCTAGAGTACAAGGAATTGGAGAAGAAGAATACAAGGCAAGGGGGAGGATTACTGGAGTAATTGGGGATGATGAAGGTGAATTTGACCCAGGTGCGCCGCCACCATTCAAATTGGCCGATATTAGAGCAGCTATTCCTAAGCATTGCTGGGTCAAGGATCCATGGAGGTCCATGAGCTATGTGGCGAGGGATGTTGTTGCGGTTTTCGGACTGGCAGCTGTTGCAGCTTATTTCAATAATTGGCTCGTTTGGCCTCTCTACTGGTTTGCCCAAGGGACTATGTTCTGGGCCCTGTTTGTTCTTGGCCATGATTGGTAATCTCGCGTTTCCACCTCCTATTTCTTCTAGTCTCCTTTCTGAAAATATTAGTGCTTTATTTCCGCTTTGGTATCTGGGACTGGGAGATGATATACTGGTGCTAATAACTATTTATTTCGTGGAATAATTTCTGCAGTGGGCATGGAAGCTTTTCCAATAATCCCAGGCTGAATAGTGTCGTTGGACATATTCTTCATTCTTCAATTCTCGTCCCTTATCATGGATGGTTTGTTCACAACATTTCTTCATCTTTAGTGCCCATTTTATTGCTTGTTTATCAAAAATCTTGAATTGGATATGGATTATCTTTAACTTCTAAAATCTTGAATTTTGCAGGAGAATTAGCCATCGGACTCACCATCAGAACCATGGTCATGTTGAAAACGATGAGTCCTGGCACCCTGTAAGTCATTGTTGTCAATTTGGTGGTACGCTCTGATACATAAAATCCTTCTCAATTAACACCCAAGGTTGAATTTTTTTTTTTTTTTCCAGTTATCTGAAAAAACTTTTAAGAGTTTGGATAGTGCCACCAAAAAATTAAGGTTCACTTTGCCATTCCCCTTGCTAGCGTACCCAGTATATCTGGTAAGTAAAAGATTGGTTCTCCTCTGATTTGAATAACGTGACCAATTGTCACAACCAGATTTGGATTTTCAAAGTCGTTGAATATGTTTCTTCTGGATTTCATCACAGTGGGGTCGGAGCCCTGGGAAGACTGGCTCTCATTTTGATCCAAGTAGTGATTTGTTTGTCCCTAGTGAGAGAAATGATGTGATTACTTCAACAGTTTGTTGGGCGGCTATGGCTGCATTGCTTGTGGGTTTATCCTTTGTTATGGGTCCTGTTCAATTGCTCAAACTCTATGGCGTTCCCTATTGGGTTAGTCAAGGCCCCTTACAAATTTCTTGCCTTTGCATTTTTATTGTTAGGTTACATTTCTTGAGTTTGTGTTTGAAGATTCTACGTGGGATTTGCAGATTTTTGTCATGTGGCTAGACTTGGTTACCTACTTGCATCACCACGGTCATGACGAGAAGCTGCCTTGGTATCGGGGAAAGGTATGCAAACTGGAGGCCTTTTTCATTCTTAGACCTTATAGTCAAAGCTGATGTTCTTAGAAAAATTCAAACTGCAGTGTATCTTTACATTTGTTAACTATAAAAAATTGTCAACTAAATATGATTTGTTACCGAGTTATTCTTGTTTTAGTACTTAAAATTATTCGGTTTTCCTTTTAAACTCGAACAGGAGTGGAATTATATGAGAGGAGGTCTTACGACGATTGATCGTGATTATGGATGGATTAATAACATCCACCATGACATTGGGACCCATGTGATTCATCATCTCTTCCCACAAATCCCTCACTATCATCTAATTGAAGCAGTAAGTTGGCGTAAAATTTGATGCAATACTTGAGCGTGTTCTTTTTGTGTCCGAATCTTGATGGCTTTGGGTGATTGCAGACAGAAGCTGCTAGGCCAGTGCTAGGGAAGTATTACAGGGAACCAAAGAAATCAAGGCCTCTTCCATTTCATTTACTGGGAGTCCTGGTGAGAAGCATGAGGAAGGATCACTATGTGAGTGATACTGGGGAGGTTGTCTATTATCAGAGTGACCCTCAGCTTTCCGGTTCTCGAAAGTTGAACTGAGGCACTGAAGAAGATATATATATATATATATATATATATATATATATATATATATATACCTAGTCTGTTGTATCAAGCCGGCCGGCCTGCTAAAAGACTCAGCAATTCTTTTCGACTGACTTGTATCTCGAAGCTGTTAAAGATTCTGCAGCTTGCAAAGACCAGAATCAAGGCAACCACCCTTACCGTATAAATTCATCATTCTTTCCATCCAGTAATTAGGGATGGCATATAGGCTTTGAGAGGGCATTGCAATTTTTTGTCTAGCATAAAGTACATCATGATGTAACCATAGCAGAGTGGTCAGTGTTAAACAGGATGATATTTTGATGCCGTAAAATGTACTACTACTACTATCAATCTATTCGTAGCACAGAGTGGTTTGAGGGTTTTGTCCCGTTCGAGATTTCTGATTCTGAAGTAGTAAAAGGGGAATGCCCTATCAAATCCGAGTCCAAACAGCACATTAGATGATGTGCCCATTAATGTTTTTTTTTTTTTTCTTTTAAAAAAGAAAAGAGAGAAAATATTAAAAAGTGGTAATCACTATGAGACATGATGAAAACATATGCGGATTCACTATCAGACGACATGATGAAACATATGGACGTCGGGTTCACTGACTTTTGTGAAATAGTGTCCAAACTGCACATTGTTTTCATGGATGGCGCAAAAGGTCGCGTCATTTTCAGCATTGGACCAGCCATTCACGTTATGTGCTACGTATTTGGAGAGGGACAAAGGCATCTTTGGCAAGAGGCTAAAACTTTTGAGTGGGTAGCGCACAAGTTGCCACATCGCCATGTTGAATTCTCGTACTCCCAAATGCTCGCAAAGCCCTCAAAATCTGACGTACCTTTTCACTTCTCTTCTCCGTCAACACTGATGACCTCCATAGCCTAATAGCTCCGCCTTCCCACCCCGATCAGTGCCGCCACCACCACCGCCAACCCCCTTTCCCCCCCTATCGCCAATCATTACCGTTCCCTTCCTTTTCAATTTGTAAACTTAACCCCCCTTCTATCAAAATCCTCCAAGAAGAAATCGGATGAAAGATTGAAATGATTGAGTGTGTTTGGATTGCTGAATTATTTTACATAATATTTTACTTGTCTCGTAAACATATTCCCCAATTCCTCTTTTTATATTTCTAATTATATTTTCATACATCACATTATAAAAAGTGCCACAATAATTTGTTTTCGTTCCCTCTTCCTGCTCCCACAATATCCTGTCCCAGTTTTTTTTCCCTTCTTTAATTCCAATCTCTTAAAAAAACTAATCGGCGAAAACAAGAGGGTTTGCTCCTCATATTCAGGATAGAAATATTCTGTAAAGGTTAAATTGGTTATGGACCTGGCATAGTTAAAAATAAGCAAAAAAAAAAAAGATTTCTCAATCTTGATGCTGCACCACTCTCTACAGATGGCCCGATAAACCAGGTCCACACAAGTTTTTGCCCGCATCATTAACATTTAAGCACATATGGCCCATTCCCGTTGTTCACTAGTCGTTTTACAGAAGCCTGAACGAAAATGTCCTGGAGGAAAATGTCGTAAAAGGTTGAATGCTGTGTCCCACTCGATCACAGCCCTAGGAAATTCATAACAGAGACAGAGTATTTCGATCTTTGTACAACGGGCAATATGTACACCAAACTTGTGATGAATATCTCATCAAAATGATTGGACTTCAAAGCGATGGTTTAATTACACAAGAAAATTCAACAAACTCGAAATTAAGACAGTTTACTCCTCCATTAAAACATTTGCAGAACGGACTGCATTCATAAAGGACAATATCAGTGACTCGTCCTTCTGAATACCATCAGGACCACAAATACCACTACTAACATCAACTCCATGAGGTCTTAGAGCAGAAAGAGCCTCAGACACGTTCTCGGGATTAATTCCCCCAGCTAGGAGCCACCCATATTTGCTTCTAATCGGTGGCAGTTCAAACTTGGACCAATCAAATCCCTTGCCGCTGCAAAAGAATATCAGGTGGTGTTGTAACAACTGCACAAGGAATGCTTGTCCAGAAGAAAGCAAATACTCAGATGCAGAAGTAGCATTTTCAGAGGAGTTCCAGGACAAGTCAAGACCAGGCTTACACAGGCTATGAAGACTGTAAAGCATATGCACAAGCTATCAAACGATTGCTTTAAAACATTGGAATCAGGAATCATTTAATGGACCAAGCAAATAGTGTGCAACCATTTTCCAGAATTTATGCAATAAACAAATATTAAGATGATATTCCTATTTTTAGATTCAAACCTACAATACTGGTGGAACTTAGAGCATCCACAGCAATGTATAATGGGGGATATAATGCCCCCCATTAGACCGTGTCATGGAGATTACACGCACAGTACTGATGATGCGCGTCATGGAAGATGCTGTAGGATCCAAACGGCATGACAACACTAGCAAACGTCCAAATAGCCAAAATGAGACAGCATTTTACTTGGTCATTTTTTGAAACATTTTACAACGGTCATTTTTGGAGCCAGCCATTTTACAACAGCTATATTTTAGCAATGGATAATTTATTTTACTTCCTATAAATACACAAGGTAATTTTTTTATTTCACCTCACAATCTTCTACTCCATTATCTCTCCTACTCCCTTATTCATTATTTTCAATCTCTTTACATAATTTTATAAATTTCAGTATTTTATCATTATGGATGAGAATCTTAGTAGTTTTAGAAATATGTTAAATAGTCCAAATATAGAAATTTATTTATAAAAATAACCGTAACATAAATAATAAATTTATTTATTTATGGGTTATGAGTTGTGCATTATTAAAATAAAAGAGGGGAGAGAGTATAATAAAAGAGGAGATAGTGAAATGCTGATGTGGCATGTGGACCCATGCTATTATACTATGTGAGTGTAATTCATTGTAAATAAAAGTGTAATAAAAAGAGGAGATAGTGGAATACTGATGTGGGATAGTGGAATGCTGATGTGGCATGATGTGGGATAGTGCATTACACCCTGAATGGTGCAAATCATTGTGGATGCTCTTATGCACAGTCGTTTAAAGTTAAAAATACCACAATCAAGATCCTGTTGATTAAATATCAGATCCAGAAAGGACATTAGTTGTAGCACACAGATGAGCGCATATTCAGATATTTTAAGAAACAAGAAGTTAACATAGCATCTGACCTTCTTCTTTGGTAGTTTGACTGTCTAGACTTTTCCTTCCTTTACACTGTAGCAGTACTGAAGTGTTGGTTTTTTAACTTAATTGGTTTATTGAAAGTATCAAAGCTGAATAAATTCTATTTAGATGATTCCACATGCTTGAGCCTTTAAGATTTCAGAATATAAATAATTTAAGGTTGTCTTCACTGAAACTTTTGTTTCTGAAGAGGAGGCTGCATTTATAAGTACAATGGTATGAAAGGGAGGTGCTTTCAGGAAGGTCATAAGTCTGACAGAAGGAAACGGATTCACCTGCTTTTATGAATCAGATGTGCTTCGAACCATTGTTAAACTGAAAAGCAAATAGCGGGCAAATAGTTACGAGTTAGTATATGACAATTTGTAGTTGGAAACATCTACCTTCCTCCTTTAGCACTATCAACAAGAATCAAGTCAACTAGAGAACATTCTTCATCAGAAATGGAGTTCAATAGGCTTCCATCTTCATTAGCATGAAGGACAAAAATCACCCGGTTCTCTCTCACGACAACTGGAAAAGCAGCACGGGAACCATTTCCATGCAGCTGCAGTACTTTTAAAAAATTACAAGCTAAAGAAGAGGGTTAGAAACTTCCAGATTTAACAAATACTAGGCAGTGAGATACCTGCACAAATTCAAGGTCTGTGGCTTCAGAAACTCTTAATATAGTGTCCGCATTATCATCTACAAATACTCCAACAGGCTCTGCTCCATTCTCCCGTGCAACTTTTGATATTTCCTTGGCAACAGGAAGTGAAATAGAACGTTTTGAGTTAGGCCAGAGAATCATTCCAACAAAATCAGCACCAGCTTCTGATGCCAGAGCAGCATCTCTAGGTGATGTAACTCCACACATTTTAACCAAAGGCCTACTTTCTTTTCGGTCAATGTCGGGAGTCAGAATGGATGGCTGATTAAGTAGGCATGTTATCCTATTACTCGGACAACTTGTGATGTCTGACGAATGCATTCGTCTCCCTTGTAGACCTGAAAACAAGATGTACAGTTGCAGACCAATTGGCTTGATAGAATTACGACAAACTCAATTCATGCAACACTCCCTCCAGGATTAAGGAACAGCTAGGTGTAAAATGAAAAAAAGGAAAACGATGATACCCTCACCGCCCCAAAAAAAGATTACTGTCATGATGATTGAAATTGTTCCCTTTGCCTGTCCATCCCGACCCAAGAAGAATACAATGCACCATGATTCAAGTTGTTCAACAGCCCTACATTGTCTTTAGGTCCAACACTACACCGCCCTCCAGAAGTAAAATACGAGAGTCATATACTTTAATTGAGCATTGAATCAAACAGGTGGTGCGTGGACATTAAAGTGGTTTATAACTAGACGTGAACAACCTTTAGGCCTTGGTACTGATCTTTCACTTTAACAATCGAAACAATCCTTGAAGCCAAAGATCATATATGCCACCAACATTCCTTCTTATCGCAATTATGCTTCTCTTTTCCACTTCTTTTTTTCTCATAATTTCAAATATAAGCACAACCATCTTACAAAATTCAAGTCGCAAGGAAATTGAAAGTAATTCTGGGAAAAGCAGACTGTTTTGCCCAATTGGTTCCAACTCAAATTCGAAGAAGCTCGATGATTTTATTTTTTTTTTGAAAAAAAAAGGAGGGGGTGGGGTGGAAGGAGAATGATGTCATAGAAGAATACTACTGTCACTCAATTACCTCCCCATTTGTGCATGCTCAGGACTATGGGATGCAGCTGCGCCCCCACATTTAACCCTGAAACAAAACAAAAAGAAATGAGTGATCATCCAGATTTCCCGTACTGCAATATCTCCAATTTGATGACGATGATGATGATGATGATAATGCAAAAAAAAAAAAAAAATGTCTGCAAGTGCTATTGAGAAACCTGACGCCATCATTTTCGGACTCCGCTTAGAGTCGGGGATGGAGCAAGCTGGGTTCTTTGTTTGCGAAAAAAGCCTGGTTCTGTTAGGGAACGCAGTGCAGTTCGGGCCCCTTGAGCCTTTTGACTAGTTATACTAGCGGCCCCAAGAGGCACATACTTAATCGGCCCATAATTATATTGGGTCTTTGGGACGATTGAAAAGGACTTTCATGAAATGGACGGTGGAAGAATTGGAAATTGAGAACATTTATTTAAGGTGGAGCCGGCGTGGGCGGCTGGGGGAACCAACTCATTGCTTTCTCCACCCTATCTATATAATGATTTTAAAAAGATAGGGACCCACGCGTTTCAAGGTCACATCGGACCGAAGCGGACGCCCGCCACCAGTTACCGACTCATACGTCCCTCATATTATCATCTTTTATTCATCTTCTTTTTCCTTTTTCTTTTCTGCCCTTTCCCCGTACGTCACAGCTTCAGCCTAGCATCAGGTCCTAAATGTCCAGCCATCTTCGGTCTGGCGATCGGATCAAAGTTGTTGTGCCGTCTTTATTTTATGAATTTTATCCAATCCAAGTCTCTCACCCTGCACCAGCACAAAGCAAAATTTGATGGGTTTGATCTCGTGCAAAGCTTTAATGATCAACTTTGATTTTTCTTCTTTCGGCTAATTTATCCGCATCATCGAAGCAGGGGATTTTTATCAACGCTACCAAGTTGGCACCACACTCTTGACCTAATAAGTTCAGAAGCAAGCCGAATCTGGTAGATAAATACTGCTTTGGGAGAATTACAATTTTAGCTCCAAATATATATATTTGGAACGTGAAAGCTTTTAGTTATAAATTTTGAATGAAAATAAATATAGTTCCAAATATTTTAGTTTCATGCATATTTAGTTCTGATAACTGATTTTTATCAAATACTGCTATCAAAATCGAGTCATGTGCCAGCAACTTGTTATTTTTAAAAATTAATAAAAATACTGCTAGCCAATAACTATAATAAATTATGACTAATTACTCATATGATGGTTATGTGAATAATTAGCTTTTAATCAAAAAAATTTTTGTTAACCGAATTTTTGTATTTCTTAACTAAATACTAATTACTCACGAGTAGGGCTGCAAACGAGTCGAACTCATCGAACTCGAACTTTTTTGGTAATTTTCAAGCTCGAGCAAAAAATAAAAAATAATTATGGGATAATTATGTAATTTTACCCCGAAGCAACGAACTTAATGTTTTGAGTTCGAGCTCGAGCTCTACTCTCGCTTTTGAAGCTCGACTCAAGTTTGAATCGAACGGCTTTCGTTTGCAAACGAGTCACTAATCCTATACAAATTTTGGCCAACAATTTTTTTTCAAGTACCTTTTAAAAAATTAGTCATACTTAATAGCACGTCATCGAATCCTTGTAGCAATTCGTAAAAGCCATTCAATAGGATTACACGTGTTTACAGTTTGAGAAACATTTGGGACTACATTTGATTTCTTTCAAACTTTAGGGACTAAGAAGCGAACATTTGGATCCACATCTCCAAGTTTTTAAGTGTACAAAACACTTGGAATCAAAACTGCACTTTCCTTTTTTCAGAAACAAGCAATAAACCGTCAAAGCCCCTTTTGATTGAACGAACCATCAAAGCTTAACTGGTTTTGTTGATGATGACTGTTACGCAGATCTTCCTTTGGAATATTTATTTTGTACATTTAGGGATCCAATACAAACTCCAGAGAAAGTACCATTGAAAGGCTCGACGCTCGATCCTTCCAAATACTTGGAAGTTGCTGCCAAGATGAACATATAAACCGAAGCATTCCCAAGACATTGGAGGCTGGACGAGAAGGTTGATCAGGAAAATTATTGCATTTTGTATCGAGGAATACATAGTACAGTACACAATACACCCCCAAAGTTAGAGGGAATGGAAAGAACTGAAAACTATTAAACTTCCTTCTAATCCTTGCCGTCTAAATAATCGATTAGTCTTCCTGCCTTACCCAAATCTTCCAACGACAGAATGTTTCACCATATACTAGTACTATATATCTTTGAGACGCCTAACTACACATATGAAATATCAAAAGAATATAAAGAATATGAATCAAGTTAAAAGCGACCATAAAGCATATGGATAGCAGTAAATTTGTCAGGCCACCATCTGCTCTTGCTCTATGTACAATTGATCGATCCAGGATGGCAAAATGTCATTAAACCCTCCATGCTTCTGCTCCGAACTGTAGAGCCCAGCATTCGTAGAGGGAACATCTTTCACCAAGGAATTAACCCATGAAACGTCCGGTTCATCTACACTTGGACTCATCCCCTTTGTTGCTGCTGCTGCTGCTGCAGCATTACCATTGCGAAAACCAAAAGATGCAGACTTTCTTAGCTTGTTGATATCATCACCATTGAATCCCCAGTCCAACTTTCCATCAGGAGAGCCCCAATCTGATACCTTTGAGGCCATCATGTTCTGGGAATTAGAAAAAGAAGACAGACCAGCTCGTTGGCTTCCTGCACCACGGTCAATAAAGCTCTGGCTACGCTTTGCAAAAGCAGCTGACCTTGAGTTCATGACTGCTGCAGCCACTGCTGCAGAAGAGTCAAAGCCCAACGTTGATGACTTCCTCGCTGGCGACGAGGAAACGTTTGCAGGATAGCTCCCTCGGAGCTGGTTCATATTTTGGCGCATCTGAATCCCAGTTGGAGATTGTAACTGGGAGCTCGAAGATGCAGGAACTTTAGGTGAGAGACACTGCAAATGAGACAAGAAGGATGGATCGAGAGATCCAAAAACATCGTCAAGATTAGTTGGCTTCAAGTCCCCAATCCTATTGTTATTCCAATGGGATGGTGAAGCGAGACCAGCCATCTCGTCTATCAGTTGCTGCCTCTGCTGCTGTTGCGTGCGGATACTTTCCAACCCAAGCAATTCCAGTTCCAAATCCAGATCCCTTGCATTCAAAGCTGTCTTTAGACGGCTGCCTGGGAGTTGCAGTGTAGGCGGTGTGAGGTTCATCTTGTTCTGCCACATGCTTGTTCCCAAGGGAGACGAACATGCTGTGGAAGGTGACATGGGCGGTGTCGAAGTAGTTGGCATCAGCATCGAGGATGAACCTAGAGTCAGCGGGCTCAAAGTGGCCATGTCCATTGAAGTAACTGCAACAGATTTAGGTGAAGGCATAGCTGAACCAGTGGAAGCATACAAGGGTCGCAATTCTTCAGGCTTGTGAGCAAAGAAGCAAACTTTTCTGGAGCAACCAGTCTCATCCTTGCAAAGCCTGGTTCTGTATTGGGCAGGGTGAAGCCAGGATTCAAAAACCCCATGAGCATATTCACAGGCATCACCCTTTGCGCATGTTCCCTTCTTGAAGTCGGGGCAAGGGACACAGCTATAGTGGTACTTCCTGGGATCCCGCCTCCTAGCATTCTCACCAGGATGGACAAAAGGGCACTCAGTCCAGTCATGAGAATAAGCCCTCGAGCAAGGCTTCACCTTGAAACTGTACATTCTGAACTCATCAGACCCATATATACCGATGTTTATATCTGGCAGGGATACATCAATTGGATACTCTTTCTTTTCAACCCCTTCTTTTGATTGAGCTCTTGCGTTTCCTTGCTCTTCCCCTACATCAACAGCCTCAGAAGCAATGCCTTTCAGCAGCATCTCCATGGCTTTCCTCTTTGAATTGCTCAAGGACTTGACGAAAGGAACAATCAGATCACCAGACCTATTTCCTTTGGCATCAAGAGAATTAACGTCGGCAGAAGCATCAAGCAGCAGCTTGACAGACTCAACTGATGAGTCTGAGCCTCCAGCTGCTGCACAGTGAAGGGCAGTCACCCCATCCGAGCCATATGCTCTGTTGACATCAACCTTGCCGCTTTGAACAATATACTTCAAAACTTTGGTGCTCCCATACATCGAAGCAATCAAGATAGGGGTTCTCTCCTCGAAACCCATCTTCTTTGTACCAATTGTTCTACCATACCAAAAGCTCAACTCATTTACATCACAGCCCTTTTCTTCTACTTCAGATATGAAGCCAGCAAGATCGTCTGTGGCAGACAATTCAAGCAACTTTGAGCAATTTTGACCCACAACTCCTCCTCTCTTTGCTTGAAATTTACCATCCATATCCATATCCGAGGGGCAAGGCTTACTCTTTGAACCAAAGCACATCAAACCCTGAAATGAAACAAGGGACGAGAAAAAATAATTTAGACAAGATACAAATTAAACTCCAAAGCAAACATATATGGAATGGCAAACTGAAACTTGTGAATGAGGTGGGCTAATTATTATACTAGAATCATTCTTCAACCAATTGGGAATTTTGGTTTAACAAGTCTTGGCTAGAAAGCTAAACTTTTCAGATACAGGCGACTCGAGCACATATTTTTTTCATCAAAACCACAACCCCTATTGGCCAAGCAAAGATTGTTGTGAACTCATGGCGTCATCATGAGTACCACTATTCAGCCAGTCTACAAAAATAGGAACCAACAAAAAATCTCCTACAAGACTCAGTCCATGGTAACAAAGCCCATAAAAATTGGAACCCATCTCGCTAAAATTGAACCTTTCCCACAAAACAACAAACATTACCATATGAAAACATTAACCATAGAAGTTTGGGTCTTTGGAAATGGAAAACCTTACCTTGTTAA